ACCCCTCGACAAATTTACCATTTAATTGAACCGAAATAAAGGGCCTGTTATCCCCATCCCTTTTCGAAAATGTAGGAGCGACTTCCCCCTTTTTAGGACTAATACTACTCTTATAAAATTGACGCACAAAATTAACCCATTTGTTCCAATCATCGCGAGTCTGAACAAAACTTTTTACTTTAGAATAGGTAGTACCGAAACGATTGCTCCGATCAGCGTTGACCTTGCGAAACTTTGGAAACGACGACCGGCCTAAAAATCGTGTTTCCGTTACTCGTTTCCCGAACGACATTTTGGACAAGATACTACAGTCACGTTCCGCAGACCACATTTGTAACAAAATTTCACGCGCTTGGCCACACAATTGCGGTAGCTATGATTTGGTTGTCGGCAATTCCAACAGATCAATAGGGTCTTCCGCGGATCTTCCTTGCCTTGTTTTACTTCACCCTCACCGAAAGGTTGTACATCTGCCCTCGACGGGACCACAAAATTAGAAATTTTCTCGTTACTGGATTTTTCCTTAAACGTATCCCGAACAGGTTGTGTTTGTACACCAGCCAACTCGGCTTCCAACAAACACGACTGCCGACACGGAACCTTAGATCTCTGTCTCAAACTAAGCATCTGCTCGATTTTCTTACCGATCTTAATTAATTCATCTAACGTTTTTGCCTCCGCGATCTCTAAATGATTCAAATATGCTAAACCCAGATTTCTTTGGATTACTTTGACTTTAGTGATTTCTAACGGAGCACGCGAAAGGCGCGAGAAAAGTGTTTCCATCACTGCTACGTAAATTGATATGGACTCGCCCTTGCCCTGCATTCTATTTTTAATATCATCCCATAAAATATCGTCACAATCACTAGGAAGAAATTCTTGCTTAATCGCGTTCACTAACGAATCCCAATCTACGTATTTATGTCTAACAGCTCGATACCATAATAACGCTTTTCCGCTAAACAAATCAACTGCTGAGTTATACAAATCATCCTTAGTGGCATGTCGGGCCTGACACAACTCGTCAACACGTTCAAGAAATTGATTAACCCCTACACCTTGGGCTTCACCGCTAAACGAAATTCCCCACTTGTAAATTGGTACTAATTTAGTATTGACAACTGGTGGAAGCGACGGAACTACTGACGGAAAAATAACGGGAGCAACCGGAGAAGACGCTTGCGGCGATGCGGTGGTCTCTACCTTATCATACAATTCGGCCTCGAGTAGCGCACACGTTGCATGAGATTCGTTACGGAACTCCACCATTTCTTTAGCGTCGTGTTCGGAAAGATTGTCAGGAATTTTAATTCTAAGAACCCGAAGAGTCGCATGAGCAATTCGCGTTCGCAACCGTTTAAATAAAGCATCTTGAGGAGAACCTTCAAATTCCGGCATCAACTGTTTAATACTATCAATCGTACTATTAATTGATTCTACTTCCTGCTCGTAATCAAACTGCGGGTCTTTATACGCCAAAATTAGTTCTAGTGGTCGACCGATGTCTTTATCAACCGAACGCTGCAACAACCTCCGTTTATCATCACTACCACGCTTGGTTACAATTCCCCTTATACGCAACTCATAATCGAGCTCACCTGCTAGTAAATACCTTGCCTTAAAAGTGTCGTCCATATTAATATCACCAATGTGAAATGGTTACAAGACATCCAAAGCCAAGACATACAAATTCGAGATGTACAAAGTCAGGATAACAAAGTCAGGATGACAAAGTCTAAAATGCAGAGTAATTAGAATTATGTTCGCACGATATCATCAACAAAATGTCTGTCACCACCTATTTCATTACTTGGGCTGCTAATTGCCACACCACCGTACCATACCTCAACAAACTCCTATGATCTTATAGAATTTCACAAGTAACGAAGTCGAACCAAGTCGTAAATCCACCTACCACTGTCAATACCGCATCTGGCCCCACGTTACGGCGCCATTTTTTGTATAACCTCTTATCTTCTTTTTACGCCGGTGCTACTTTCGGAGAGCGGGTTCTTCTCGTGGTGGTTGCACTTACCGTGGATTCAACTTCGTTGCTAAACTCTTCCTAACCAAAAATAATAGGGCGCCACTCAGTCGTTATGGTGGAAAGGAGGGTTGGGGGGACTGAGACCACCCAACTTCACCAATGCTCTTTTTATTTAATATATAATAAATTAAATCGACTAATTAGGTACATTATAAAAAAACTATGACTTGAAATCAAAAAAATGTGGTGGGCAGGAGTTCGGTTTGTTGTAGCGTTTAGCAGTCCATGAACGCGGTTAATTTACCTCCAGGTTGGCGGTTCGACAGACTTACCAGGATGACAGGATGACACCTCTCCTTGACACTAACTCTTCACCCTTTTTTTAGTGAACAACGACACCCTAAAACTTCCGTGTCTTTTTCTCTCGACCTTCTCTCGTCGCCGTCTCAAAACCCGAAAGCCACGCTCTTCTCGAACCTTCCATCTCCTACCCCCCTACTCTCTAAATTGCGCGCGCTATTTAAATTGTGGTAACATTTTCATGTTACAAGATTTTCCTGATATAGTTTTCGTTTTTTTTCCCAGATGTTTTTACTATTTTCAAAGTTTTGTCAAAATCTGGACGTTCCTTCTTACAATATTGATTTTGTGTTGAAAAGTGGAATTTTCTGTTTCTCACTTGTTAAAATTTTATTCGTATAAACTTTGCAGATTTTCCTAGTAGATTTTTCTGTTTCTTTTTTAGACTTCCGCCTTGTTTTCATTCCTTCAAAACCTGTGTTTTTAAACAGCATTTTAATCGAAATCGAAATTTTTTGTTTGCTTTTTTGAAGATTTTATCGGATTTTGATTGCTTTTTTCAAAATCTGATTCTTTAAATTTTTGTTAATTGAATTTTTTTGTTCTCATTTTTTTTGAGATTGTCATGTTGCTTCAAATTCTGGGTTTATTTCAAGATGTCAATTTCTTGTTAATATAATTGAATGTTTGTGAAAGCCCCAAAGTGCGTTATCGACATTTTGCAATTTTTCTCAAAATTTTCATATCAAAAATTCAATTCTTTCTCGTCAGATTTTTCCTTTTTTTTTTCATATTTTTGTGTTTTTAAAGTTGAGCTTTTCGTTAATATCCTAAAGATTTTCCTAAGTTTTCGTTTTTTTTGTATAAACTATTTTTCCTATAGAAAAATGTTCCTAAAACTCCAAAATTTCGATTTTTCGAAGGCCGATTCTGGAAAAACTGTTGGGGTTATCAAAGAAAGGAGGTCGGAAGTGGGTTCTAGAGGTCGAAATCCACAAGACAATGTGTTAAGTTTCGAAAAGGAACAAAATTCAGTCGAAATTAGTACATGCTAAGATAAAACTAATTTTGGCAAATCACCATATCCTCTAAGAAAATAGAGGGTAGGTGGGCGGGGCTAATACTTGCCAAGGTAAGACTGAATATTAAGAGTAGTCACTGGAATGAAGAGAGAGTCGGTGGGCGGGGCTACTGTTTGCGTATAATTATAAAACTCTTTAGAAAAACCGAAACTCAGCTCCGCCCACTTCTTGTTTTCATTTCACTAACTTTGATTTTTGTTTCGTTATTTTTTCAAATATTCGATTTTTCAGTGTTTATTTTTTTGTGTTTTCATTTTTAAGATATGCGACTTTTCGAGTTTTTATTTAAGAATTTTTCAGTTTTTCAATTTTCCAATTTTTGGATATTTCAATTTGTAATTTTGCAATTTTTTTATTTGCAGTTTCACGAGTTTTCAATTTTTCGATTTTTATTTTTTTTGTTAGTACTTGCTAAGATAAGACTGATTTTTTGATTTGTAATTTTTCAATTTTTTTTTTTTTTAGTACCTACTTGCAAAGGTAAGACTGATTTTAGCTAATCACTAATCTAAGAAGATAGGGGGTGGGTGGGCGGGCCTTAATTTATGCTAAGATAAAAGTAATTCCGGCAAATCACATACCCTCTAGTATTGGAAAAATTTCACTGTTAAAAAAGTTCTCAAAAAATTTTCAAAAAATTCAGGGATGTACATAGATCTGGACGTGCTGATTTCAAAAATATAACGTTTGTATGTTCATCGAGCAACATTTCCAAAATGTTCAGTTTTAAATTCTAAAAATTTCGATATTTCGAAGGCTGATTCTCGAAAAACTGCTAGAGTTATCAAAGAAACGAGGTCGGAAGTTCCAGAGCTCAAAATCTACAAGAAAATGTATTTAGTTAACTTTGGTAAATGGAACCTAACTGCAAAATCGATATTTCTTTGTACAAATTTTCCAATTTAAACATGTTTTAAGTATCCTGTTGTGAAAAGAAGTCTACACATATTCGTATACAAAAATATTATTGAATTTCTTTCTACAAAATCCACACCTTCTACATATTAACGTAATAAGTCTATTTGGTACGAAGTCCATTTTCAAAATACGAACCGCTAAATACACTTTCAAAATTAAATCGAACAACTGTGAAAAGAAAAATCGAAAAATTGCAAGATTGGGAAAATCTGATAATCGGAAAGTCAAACATTTAAAAACTGATTCGTTAAAAACTGGACAATTGAGGATTCGAATAAAAATATAAAAATTATATACTACTATGAAAATTAAAATATCTATAAATAAACTGAAACAACGTAAACGCAATCCTGTTTTTTATCGTTATTTGTAAAGAAGATACGTTAAACAGATAAGTCAGAACTACATTAAAAACACCACAGCAAACCCAGAGCACAAACATTTTATTTACAAATTATAATAAAAAACTTATCTTATCGCAATGCACATGCACCGGAATTACTTAATATTTCCGTTAGGCGTTTATCGCATTAATTTTTATTTCATTGAATAGCGTACAACAATATGACCAAGTTAACAAAAACATCTTTTAAATCCGTTAGTCTCGACTATGTTAATACTTTAATCGCCAAACCATCTTACACTCAAGAAAACAACAAATTTCTCCCTGAAAAGAGTGACTGACGACCGAGAGACAATAATATAAAAACGCGATATCGTAGAACAGAGGTAGTTGCAAACTGCTCTTCTTAAACATGAAAACCACAATCGCATCTGTCTGTGTTTTGATAATTTTGACTTTCTCTTACTGTGCGGAACTACGTAAATTTATAATTTTTATAATAAATTTTTCACTTCAATTTTTCGTTTTTAAGCACCTAGTTTCAAAAAATGCAACATAAAGCAGTCGGATTTTAAAAAGTGCTTGAGCAACGCCGTCCAGAACGCCATCCAGCAATTGAAAGACCCAATTCCTAAACTGGGTCTACACAGCATAGATCCATTTTGGATGGAAACTCTGACGATGGAAGTAGGGAACGCTTCTGAGGGTTTGCATCAAATTTGGAGCAATGTAACAGTTTACGGCTTGAGCAAACCCGTTGCTACAGATGCAAGGTAATCATTTACAATGGAGTATAAAATTTTGTGTGTTATTGATTTATTTTTTCACTAGCTGGACTTCTGGCTCTGTCATCACCTTAGATCTCGAAGTGAGCTACGACCGTACGCTAGTTTTCGCCTCCAACTATGAAGCCCACGGCGCAGTTCTTCTCCTCCCGGTTGACGTGTTTTCATCATTTCGTTGCGAATTTGTGAAAGGGGGGAAGATTAAAGTAACATACAAAATCCAAAAACCTAAAAAAGGGAACGGATATTTTAAACTGATTAGTACTGAGGTTGTACTTGAACCCAAGAGGGCGAAATATATTTTCACTAAGGTCTTTGAAAATCAAAATCTAACGGATGCGTTAAACTCGGAAATGTATAAAAATTGGGAGGGAGCCTGGAAGTTTATTCATGGGTTTTTGAATGTTTATGACCCATTTTTTGATGCATTGCTTAGAAGCATTTTGGAAAAAGTTCCAGCTGATCAAATTATCGATGGACTGGATTAAACCGTGTATTGCTTCGAACTACAGTGTTTTAATAGGTATATGTTAAAAATAAACGAATTGTGGAATAATTTACAAAGTAAAAAATAAAAAGAAAATAAAAAAATACAGATTAGAAAAATGTGCTTGATTTTTAAATATATTTTTCCTTTAAAATAAAAATACAAGCGTGTTTTTCTACATCAACTTTTTTTAATGATACTTTATATATTTTAGAATTCTTGTAGAACTTACCTAATTTACTTATTTACAATGAAAGCACAAGTTCTTGTTATTATTTATTTTTATTTCAAATAATAATCGTGTTTTCTTTAATTTTAACCAAGAAAGGCTTTTTCCTCCGGTGATATGCCGGAAGTATTCTTTGTTATTACTTTTGCATTTGTGTCTCCGATAAATATTTTTGTCGTATTTTGGAATTCGTCTTATTATATCTGCAATCGTTTCATAAAATTAATTTTTTATTCTATATTTTACTCGGATTCTTATTAACGCATTCTGTCAGATATTGATTTGAAGTCGATCACGGTCCTCTTCATCCTTTCATTGACTATGAATCCAGTCCCAAAGTACCTTTTGTTTCCTCTACTTTTAAAGAATACGTTTTTTCTGATCTCCATAACTTCATTTCCTTGCTGCTTTATTTCTTGTAGAGCCGATATTTTTCCATTGTGTCTATCAGGTTTCTCAAAGCTCCTTCTTCGTAAGTACCTCTTACGTTCCATGTCCCCAATTTAATTACTGTTCTATCAACTTTATTCCCATTTCCTGCTGCTTTTTTTGTTGTTTTTCCATTTCGTGTTCTTTTATCTCTCCATATCGTCTTCGTTCGTTCCGAGTTTTTTTCTGTCTTGTCTAGTTTTTTAATTCTTTCTTTTTGTCTATATCAATCCCATTTTTTTTCTTATTCCATCTCAATGTTTCTCCCTCTATGATCTTTTGATATTCTACCTTGATTCTCTTCCCTTTATTCCTTTCTAGTTGTGCTATTCTTCCCTTTGTATTATTCTTTCTTCCTTTGTCATGTCATCATTTGTGTAAATTGGTTCGTCATTTCTGTTTTTTAATTTACTTTTGTTTTCCATTATTTTCATTTTATCTTGGATGTTGTTCAATTCCACTGCAGCAATTTCCTCCCCCAACTTCCTTACTGTGTTTACTTCTACCCTTACTCCCAATTCTTTGTCCATAAAATTTTTCATTGCCTTAATTAAAATGCTCTGTTTGTTTTCGTTTATTTTAATACCTTGTACTAGCTTTTCTACTCTCTCCTTGGCAGCTATTATTTCCGTTTTTAGCCCATCCAGTTCTCTTACCATTTTCTCATTAGATTCTTTTAACTGTCTTATATTATTATTATTATTATTATTACATACATAGTGCAGACTGAGACTAATCTATTAGTCCGCAGAGTTAACATAATATAATTGGTCTTTTTAATAATAAAGAAAACAAAATTCAAAATTTAAGCCTACATAAAAATACAAATTAAATTTAAAGAAAGGTAACTTCTGAAGCTAATAAGTTTCATAAGTGTAAATTTGCGTGTTGGTCGTATCGGTTCTTAAAAATGTTAGTAGACTGCGCGTTGATGACTTGTTCGGGAAGATTGTTCCAAATCTGGAATACTCTGTTTGACAGGAAGTTTTGGCGGACCGTAGTTTTAAAGTTTTTTTCTTCTGATCCAATTTAATAAGTTGTCTTTTATACCGGCACAGTGTAGCTTGAATAGTAACCTCTCCCTGGGAACTCGATCGAAAGCTTTCTAAAAGTCTAGGTATGCGATGTCAATTAAGTAGTTGATTGGAGTCAAGAGCCAGGGTCCAGTCATTCACACAAATCAACATATTTGAGATTGGGGAGCGTCCCGGTAAGAAGCCATGTTGACAATCAGGAATGATTTTTTCGTTTAACAAAAAGGTTGACATCTGTTTAAATATAGTTGTTTCCAGAACTTTACAGATAATGCATGTTAAGCTTATTTGTCGATAATTTTTGGGAGAGAACTTATCGCCTTTCTTGGAGATAGGTGTTACATTTGCAGTTAACCACTGAGGGGGTAAAATACTTTCTTCAAAAGAGGATTTGGCGATTAAATATATAGGGTATATAATTTCGTCTAAACATGCTGCAATCAGTTGGCATGTGATATTGTCGGGCCCTGGGGCACTTTTCCTTCTAGCTATTTCCTCTAGAGTTGCTTTTATGTTTTCTTCGGTAATAGATATGGTTGACAAAAAGTTTTTGTGGTGTATAGATGATTGAATAAAGGGGCCAAACGTTTTTTTACTATAGTTGTGGTGAAATTCATCAGCAAGAAGATCGGCCGTTTGTTGGTTAGATGTACAAAGTGAACCGTCAGGTTTTCGTAGTAAAGGAATTCCCACTTTTGTTGAAAGCATTGATCTAATATATTTGTAAAACTTTTTCGGAGACTCCGTCTCTGTTAAGTTGTTTTCGAAGAGTTGCCTTGCTTTTTTCAATTCTGTAGTGACATGATTTGAGAATATTCTATGTTCACGATACCTATCTTCTGACGAACTGTTTTTATAACAAGTCCAAAGTTGACGTTTATGTTTGATTAACTGAACTAGACGATTGTCAATCCATGGTTTGTTAGGAATTAGTTTAACTTCTTTAACATATGTATGGTTGTTGACAGAGGCCGATAGTTTAGACTGAAATACTTCCCACATTTCGCAAGCGTTTGAAGTTTGAAACATTGAAATCCAGTTAAAATTGGCAAGATCCCGTCTAACGTTTCCATAGTTTGTGTGTTTAATTTTTTTGACCAACTTCTTTGTTGGGTTAACATAAATTTGAACGTTTGACGATATAACAAGATGGTCCGATTTGCCAAAAGGGGGGAGGTATTCTATTTTAGTAAGCAGATCGGGGTCATTTGCAAAAATTAGATCAGTTTGTGAGGGACTTTGATTTTGACGAATTCTTGTTGGTTCTGATACTAGTTGAGTTAAATTTCCTTCGTGCATTGAATCGAGAATAATTTCGTTGTAGGGTGAATGAGGTTGTAGAGGCCAGGATAGATAAGACATGTTGAAATCACCTCAATTATTACATTTTTGTTGGGGAGTGAGAAAAATCCATGTCGGGTATGGGTACAAAAAAAGGTCTGTAAATGTAGCAAAATGACAAACTGAATTGGGAAGAGAGAAAATTTACAGCTAATGATTCACATCCAGTGGGCGTGTGAAAATGGGATTATTGAAATTTGAAAAGTTGTAGATATTTCTTCATCAACAAAGATGCAAAGCCCGCCCCCTCTGCCATTGTCGCGATCTTTGCGATATAGTGAGTACCCTTTTAAGGATATGAGAGAATCGAGAATGTTTAAAGACAACCAAGCTTCCGTTAACATTATTATTTTCGGTTTATTAAGCTGTACAAATGCGGTAAATTCGTTTAACTTAGGAAATATTGAATTTATATTAGTGTATATAATCTTCCACTCGAGAACTTGTCTTAGTTTTTTGTGATGTTAACGATAGTTGGCTTCTTTTTGATGAATTTTATAGTTAGGCCCACTTTTCCATTTTCGAGGTAATATACTTTAATTGACGAGGTGTTTTGTCGTCGGATATTTTGATATCTTTGAAATTAATGCCATTCAGATTTTTTTTGTGTTTAGAACTAAGAGCGCTGTTTCTTCATTTGGAAAAATGACCCTCAGTGGTCTTTTTTTTCCGGTGATGCTTTGCCCAAACGAAAACAAGTGATTTTGAAATCTTCCATACCGGTTGATAATTTGGCAAGTATATTAGATGCCTCTTGAAGGTCGTGTTGTTTGCGACTTGCAATAGATCCTGTTGTCTCTGGAATCCCATAAATTATTACGTTTTTCGCTCTTTTCATTCGTTCAGCTGCCTCGATACTTGCATCCTCAATCATTTCATCGTAATTTTTTTCTTGGTGGTGATCTAGTTTATTTTCGATTGACTCTACTCTACTGACCAATTTTAGTAACAGTGAACGTAAATCAACGCTATTGCATTGCTTTAGGGATAGCCCTTTATTCTGAGGTATTCTTTTTAGATCATCTTCATTTAAACCGGCACAAGACATGTGGATCGATCCTGTGCATTCGTCACAAGCTACCAGCGTTTTGCAGTTACCGAATGGTGCTGAGCAATTAAGACAGTTTGGCATATCGCTGTTTCACGTGAATCGACAGAAAAAAAAAGAAAAACGGGAGCCAGAAAAACGTACGAGATAAGCAGTCTGAACCACGACTCGTGAATTAATATAATTTGAATCAGATAAATAAGACACTTACGAAGTGTGCAACAACCTGTTAATTAGCCAGAAGACACCTTTTGCACAGATAGGAATGTTCGAGCCAAAAAAACAAATTATAAAGAGCAAAAACACCAGACTTTAGCGACAAACACTCGCGAGCCGGAAGACACGATCGTATCGCTTGGCGTCACCATGCAAATATAGTTCTTGGTTTTGTGCTATCTCACTTATTTCTTTTCTCATTCCCTTTATTTCTTCGCTTGTTCTTTTTAGTTCTTCTCTAATTGTCCTCGTGTCCCACGACTGCTTTTAGCATCGTCATCATTTGCTCTATTTGTGTCCTCTGTTTTTCCGTTTTATTTTCGCCTGTTTGCGGTGTCCTCGGTGTTATTTTCGATCTTCTTGTGATGTCGATACCTTCTTCTCCTTTGCTGTTCCTTCCCTCATCGGTTAAACTCTCTTCCGATTTCATGTTGGGGTCGTTGTCGTCGTCACGTCGTCTATTTTCATATTTATTTTGTTCATAATCCGTGCATTCACGCATGCTACACACAGTCTTTCCATTGAAGGAACACACAGCGACATTAATTGAAATTTTATGCCACATTGTCGCACGCCTACAACAGGCAACAGTAGGCAACAAGTATCAAGCAACATGTCGTTCAGTGTTGCCTCAGTGGAATTCGTGCTTAATTCGTCGGTGTTTTAATGTTTTCTCTTTAAAAATTCGCTTGTTCCTTCGTCTGGCAACGCCGCGAGTATTTCTTGCGCACAATTTGTCGCTTATCTTCAGCTATTATCTGTTTACACTTCGTTTTTAACTCAAATTTACCTATTGGAATAACAAACTTCCTCTATTTTATTTCCTCCCTGCTACTGCCCACTCTCTTGTTCACTTTCGTTCCACATTTTAGCATTATTTCCCGTAGGTATATAATATCGAATATCCAAATTTGGTGTTTTTATAAAAGTGTGATGTCCTCTCTAATAGTCACGACGGTGGTTGGTTAATAACACCACTACATATTTATTATCCATTTATTTACCCATATTACCACTACAAACCCAGACTTAACACTTCCTTGTTTTAGCTATCACTTACACTTTTATACACTATTGATGACCTAGTTCCTTGCAATGGACAAGCATTTGCTGACTAACGAATTCAAACTTACTCATTCCATTACAGTACAAGTAAAAATTTAAATTTTGATGTAAATTCAGCTCCATTTTTCATTATTAATCATGGAACTTTAAATATACATATTTATAAATAAATAAATTACTAAATTTTTGCGTTCATATGATTGGAAAAAGTACAGTGTTATACTCGTCTTCGGCTCGTTTCGTAAATTGTCATCTGGTGAAAAGTGAGCAATTTTCTCACTCGTGTAACAATGTACGTACTATTTCTTTATTGATGTGTTCTTTTACCATTTGCGGACATTCCCCTATCAGTTTGTTTTGTTCTAGTCGTAAAAGAAAATAAAAACCAATTTAATAAGGATTCTAAAAAATGGAACTTTGTCTACTGTTTAATAACAAACAACAATCTATTTCAGTATATGTACAGATTAAATCATTATTTACATATTTACAATATAGGTACAGATTGATTACATTTTTTAGATACACAGGTTTATCGAAGTCCTTGGTTGGAGTAATCACCGTTACATTACTAGTAATAAACTTATAAACTACAATACTTGTATATATTTCCACTACAAAGTAAAAATATCCCTCACATGTCATGATACTTTTTTTAATAAACCGACAAACAATGATTAAGTAAGAAAATACGACAAGGTTGCAGTCCGTCTTCGGTATTTTTGCTCCATTTCAGATTTTTACACTTTCTATCAACAACTATTCCCAAAAGAAAACCTGCTTCAATTACGTGCTTTGGTTTTGTTAAGTGTTTTTTCATCTGTGTACCAATTGTCAAGAAGAAAGATAGTTTCGTAGTTGCCATGCTTGAGCATCTTCAGTATTTGGTCACAGTAAATTTTCCGCTTCCTCTCTGAATCAAACTTTGTCAGTTTGTCAAAAGAGTATGTTTTTGGGAAATCGATGTGAAATGCTTAAAACACTATGAACAAATTTAAACCACAACCACGACTTGGTACAAAATGTTCATTTTTGTAATGCAAACCCAGTGGATCTATATAGTGATAAAAATATTCGACAATGGAAAACAGCCTTGACGTCGTTTTTTGCTAATTCTGAGTACAAGTACTTAGTTAAAAGGTATCATGGCACTTTACATTTAAAAATTTTTAATTATTTTGTCCTCGAAGCGCCAAACAGATGCAAATACTAAAACGCGTCTTGAATGCGTGAACAACGAATCTAGCGCTGACGTTTGTTAGATATGAATGCTGCATCCGTTGAGCGATCTTGTCACGAAATAAATTACACATTAGAGCAACCATTTACAACACTACTTGCAAATAATAAAGTTATTATCAAACTCATATTAGAACTAGAATTAATTGTGCGATGGAAAACTATCTCAATCAAAGTGAATATTAATATGTTAAATGATGTTATGTAAATAATATGAATCCGATTAAGATGATTTTCTATAGCACCATACTGTTCTCTATGCAGTGATTTCGGAATGTATGGACAATTTGTAGCCACTACGATGACAAGATGAAGTTTCTGCTGATAGTGCAGGAATTTCGCCTAAATTCTCTGGTTTATAATTCATTTAGCGTTATTATGTTTTACTGCAATTTTAAATATTTTGTGAGATTGTGAGATTTTAAAGTTATAAAATTTACAGTAAAACGCAATTCTGTTGATATTGTCCAGGTCAGTTAGCGGTATTTAACTCATTTGTTATATTTTGAGGTTAGAAACCTGATTCCGCGTAAGGTATATTTTGTTGTGATACGAAATTAAAACAGTAGTTGCTGTTTTTCAATTCGTTGTTTTGGCAGGCACGAAAAGTCTATAATGCAAAATGTGATAATTAAAACTAAGTACCTACTTTGGTAGGGAAATTTACCTCTTTTTGAAGCGGAAGTATTTTTCAAAACATTGTTCCAATATTAGTTCTTGATGAATAACAGCAGTTTTGGTTTCAATTTTTTTTAAAACTATGGAAACACCTGTACTGAAATGTTAAACCAAATTTATAAAGTTAATATTAAAATATTTTTACTTACCTTAGTAGTTTATGTGTTTTGTTTGTATTTTTTTAAAGTTTGATAGTAGGACAGTTTTTGCTGCAGTTCTCTTCGTATTGTTGTGATGACCTCACGAAAAAAAAATTGTACTGAAATTCATAGTTACATAACGCCAAATATATTTTGTTGATGACTCACCTAAAGTAAAAGTTGAAGCTTAGCTGAATTTGTCCGAAAATGTACTTGACAAATTTTCGTAAAATATTGACTGATCGAGTTTGCATTTATGTGGTCGTCAACTAATTAAAATTTGGAATAGTATCAAAATAATTTATCGAAAGTTCAAATTTTGTTTGAAAAGAATAAAATAAATTTCATGCAAGTTAAAAAATCCGAAAATGGTACTTCAGAAAAAACTATAAACAAAATAACTATAAAAGAAGTCGTCATGTCAAATTAGTTTATTCAATTGAAATATGTAGACATAAAAGAAAACGAATTATTTAGCTTGTGGCTATGTTTTCCATAGATGTGAAAATTGTGTGAATCTCAAAAATAAGTTTAAATATTAGAATAGATAAATTCATTCATTCATTCATTCATTCATTCATTCATTAATAAGCAATACAAATCTTTACAATATCTGAAAACAGATGAAGGATATAGGTATGTAGATATAAAAAGCTGTATATCATAAAATAGTGTTTTTCTTTTGATTTTCGTCTTTCATCAATTGTGTTCCACTAATTGTCAAATTTATTTCCTACTCTTATTAAATGGTGCGCTATGTTTCTCAAATTGTTTTACCTTCTGTCAAAACAGTTTCTTATTTTTAACAAAACAATTTCGTCGCACATCAGCCAAAGTGGACAGCACTTTAATATTCAACCAAACACTGTTAGAAAAATTTACTTGAGTAATCAAATGGAGAAAGAAAATGCTATGCAGCGCACGTAAAAGTTAACTAAACAAAAGAAAGAAAAAATATGCAATTGGATTTATGAAGACTGTGTTTAACTCTTACGGAAGATCACCAAGTAACCGTAGCGCAAACAAAGTCGAAGATCAGCTGACAGGTCGTAATTAGTCGATTACGATTTTTTAAAACCTTATTGAATCACTTACAAGAAGATAATATTAGGGGCGCACGGACATATTTTAATGAACGATGTAAGATTTCACAGAACTGAAGAAATTCAACAATTGATACAAACCCATGGAGTTTTTCCTGTATTTGTACTTCGATATAGGACTTTTCTCAATCCATTAGCTCAAAACTTGGTCGAAGAGTGGTAATGACGTGTGCAGCCCCCTTTGAAATCTACAGATCAAACCTAATTGGGAAACTGTTTAATCAGTGGAAAGTGATTATTAAAAGAAGTCATCCTAGAAACGAAGACGAATTAAATATGCAATATCCAAGTATACAATACTTTTGACGCAATAATTTGTGGGGATTGCCTCAACAGAAATGAAATTTTGAACTTAAATAATTTGTTATAGGTATTTCATGATTGTAGATTGACATATTTGTTAAAATAAATTACTTATGGTTGGGCCCTGCGATAAATTGAAAGAATTTTGACAAAGGGAATTACTTTGGGCATATGATATCAAAAAGGCAAATACGGGAAAATTGAGTCAAATAGTGAAACATATTCGACAAATAAAGTAAAACACTGTATTACGAAAAAATAATGTAGAAACAAATTTTCATTTTAATCAAACTAGGTAAAATTGGTCCAATGTATCAGACAGGACACTTCTCGCTCCTGAAATACGGTCGAACAAATTCAGTTTTTTTCAATTCTATTTTTTTTAATATAAATCCTATAACTAAAGTATGTAATAATATCTCTCAAAGGTTAAGGTAACATTCTTTTTAATAGATAGAGCAAAATTACCGTCCCTGATATGATCAACAAAATAACAATAAAAAAGTAAGGCGGCGGATGGTAATAAAATATTGAAAGTCTGGCCCGGCGTAGAGGAGCTATGGATCGCCGTTGAACTAATCATTCGACGGATTTTTGGTGAGTATTCGAGTTGAACCATCATTATTCATTTTATTAAACGAAAGGTTTTGCTCCACATTTTACAGTATTCGACAGGAAGCTGCGTACAACAATGTGTTCTCATATGTATTAGCTGGATTAATTTTTGCTCCGCATTTCACCAGGCATTCGACAATTTTTTCGTGACTTCTATAGGAAGCTGCGTAAAGCGGTGTCTGACCATCTTTATCAGCGGGATTGATTTCGGCTCCGCATTTCACCAGGAATTCGACAATTTTTTTGTGACCTCGAGAGGAAGCTGCATAAAGCGGTGTCCGACCATCTTTATCAGCGCGATTGATTTCGGCTCCGCATTTCACCAGGAATTCGACAATTTTTTCGTGACCTCGAGAGGAAGCTGCGTAAAGCGGTGTCCGACCATCTTTATGAGCGCGATTGATTTCGGCTCCGCATTTCACCAGGAATTCAACAATTTCTTCGTGCCCTCCATAGGAAGCTGCGAAAAGCGGTGTCCCACCATCTTCATCAGCGCGATTGATTTCGGCTCCGCATTTCACCAGGAATTCGACAATTTCTTCGTGCCCTCCATAGGAAGCTGCGAAAAGCGGTGTCTGACCATCTTTATCAGCGGGATTGATTTCGGCTCCGCATTTCACCAGGAATTCGACAATTTTTTTGTGACCTCGAGAGGAAGCTGCATAAAGCGGTGTCCGACCATCTTTATCAGCGCGATTGATTTCGGCTCCGCATTTCACCAGGAATTCGACAATTTTTTCGTGCCCTCCATAGGAAGCTGCGTAAAGCGGTGTCCCACCATCTTCATCAGCGCGATTGATTTCGGCTCCGCATTTCACCAGGAATTCGACAATTTTTTCGTGACCTTGATCGGAAGCTGCGTACAACAATGTGTTCTCATATGTATTAGCTGGATTAATTTTTGCTCCGCATTTCACCAGGCATTCGACAATTTTTTCGTGCCCTCCATAGGAAGCTGCGTAAAGCGGTGTCCGACCATCTTGATCAGCGGGATTGATTTCGGCTCCGCATTTCACCAGGAATTCGACAATTTTTTTGTGACCTCTAGAGGAAGCTGCATAAAGCGGTGTCCGACCATTTTTATCAGCGCGATTGATTTCGGCTCCGCCTTTCACCAGGAATTCGACAATTTTTTCGTGACCTCGAGAGGAAGCTGCGTAAAGCGGTGTCGGACCATCTTTATCAGCGGGATTGATTTCGGCTCCGCATTTCACCAGGAATTCGACAATTTTTTCGTGACCTCCAGAGGAAGCTGCGTAAAGCGGTGTTTCACCATCTTCATCAGCGCGATTGATTTCGGCTCCGCATTTCACCAGGAATTCGACAATTTTTTCGTGACCTTGAGAGGAAGCTTCGTAAAGCGGTGTCTTACCATCTTCATCAGCGCGATTGATTTCGGCTCCGCATTTCACCAGGAATTCGACAATTTTTTCGTGACCTCGAGAGGAAGCTGCGTAAAGCGGTGTCGGACCATCTTTATCAGCGCGATTGATTTCGGCTCCGCATTTCACCAGGAATTCGACAATTTCTTCGTGCCCTCCATAGGAAGCTGCGTAAAGCGGTGTTTCACCATCTTCATCAGCCCGATTGATTTCGGCTCCGCATTTCACCAGGAATTCGACAATTTTTTCGTGACCTTGAGAGGAAGCTGCGTAAAGCGGTGTCTCACCAAAAACATTATCAGCGCGACTGATTTCGGCTCCGCATTTCACCAGGCATTCGACAATTTTTTCGTGACCTTGAGAGGAAGCTGCGTAAAGCGGTGTCGGACCATCTTTATCAGCGCGATTGATTTCGGCTCCGCATTTCACCAGGCATTCGACAATTTTTTCGTGACCTTGAGAGGAAGCTGTGTAAAGCGGTGTCTCACCATATTTATTAGCGCGATTGATTTCGGCTCCGTATTTGAACAAGTACTCTACAACTGTTTCGTGCCCCTCTCGAGAAGCTATTATAAGAGGCGTACTACGTTCGAATTCAACACTAAAATTTACTTCATTATTAGAAACACTCGAAGATGAAAATAATATTTTAAACGCTTCTGCGTATCCGTGCAAAGCGGCAAAAAAGAAAATATTAATTTTGTCTGTTCGACTATACGAATCTTTCAGTTGTAATTTGCATGATTGCAATAATTCCAGTTCCGCTCCCAAACTTTCACTTTCTTGTGCCCATGCTAAGGGTGTGAGTTGATGTAAAAAATCTTCTTCTAATATTTCACATTTGTCTAACAAAAACAATAACGCTTTCAAATATTGTTTCGTTTCTAATGAACTACTCATAATCTCCCTAGTTGCCTCAATAACATAACCTCCAGATTCGGTTTGTACATTTAAACGCCCATGTCTTCGTCCCCAAGAACAAATGAGATGTAAGGCACTTCTTCCACACTCATCTTTACGTTTTATTATTTCGTCGTCAAAGTTCTCCACTTCATCAAAATTTCTATATAAAATTGCTATGTGGACCGGTAATTTTTTGCCAGTTAACATGTCGAAGAAGAAACGTACGTTATTATACTTCACATCAAAAAATATATCCCTGTGTATCATTTCAAAATTTCTAGAAAAATGTAAGGCAACAAAATATTCGGCAAAGGACGCATGTGCAAATTGCGGGATGCCATTTTGTAGTCCAGTCATGATACCAACAGTTGCGAAATCTTCAGAAACAGAATCTATCGTTTGCGAATAATCTATATTTAATTGTTTCAAAACATTTTCAGGAAATATTACTTTGAGCGCCAACTTTTCATACTGTTTTAATTTCTCTTCCTTTTCCTTCCTCACTTTTTCTTGCCAAAAATCATTGTTTACAGGAACTTTGCCTTCGTAGAAAAACTTAAATTTTCCTTCAATAAAGTAACGATACATGTCAGTCAGCAGAAATTTATTATTTAATAACTCTGAATATGTTTCCTTATTTTTAAGTAATACGTCTGTTAACATAAAAATTTGAAGAGGGATTCCCAATATATTTATATGTTTTGTAAATGCAAACGTGGATTTAATTTTGTCGATGATTGGTTTCAATCCTTCAGACGCAATAAAACTGTTAAGACGTTTCTTAATATAATCTTCTTGCTCGAGTTCGTTGAACTGATTGATACTCACTGACAGAGTATTAAATTTTTCTTCAAGAGAAGATCTCAAATGTCGCCTTGCAGTAACCCACTGAATGTAACCTTTCTGCGATAACATAAGAATTAAATCTAAAGTACCATTTAAAAACTGAGTAAATATTTCATCAAGAGCATCCCATACATAAACCACATTTCGTTGCTTTAAACACATTGTAAAGAATTCACGATCCAACCCAGCGAGGTCTCGATATTTTTCGTTTAAAATAAATGTTTTGAATTGTAAGTCTGCTGGTTTTTCAGACTTTGGTGAATTTTTAAAGAAAGACATAACATCTTGGGCACTCAGAATCACGGTCCAATATCTCGCACAACAGTTGTTTTTTAGATTCTTCGTTAACTCGGTTTTGCCCATTCCTGGGTCACCTGTTATCAGATTTATGTTGTTGCTGAATTTGGATGACCAAATTTCGTTTTCGTTTTTGGAACGACTACGTAATTTATATTTTCGCAGTTCATTAACAGATCCTTTGCTTCCAATCCATTCTAAATTTTGATCGTTGAGAAATTGAAAACAGTGTACAGTTTTTGATGCTGTTGCTTTAGAACATATTTTCTGAAAATCAGAATCACTGCAATTTTTTTCACACTTTATAAAAATTGGATTATCAAAAATTTTGGGGTCTGTATTACTTAAAAAACCCTCGATGTCTGTTAGAGTATGCTTTTTAGATATTTTCAATTGCTGAGAATTACCTTCGCAATTTAAAATGATAACAGTGTTTCGATTAACATGTTCTAGATATTTAATGTCTATAATATTGACTGACAAATATCTGTCGATATAAAGATTGGGAAAAACTTCCTTTTGTCCATCTATATGGCATGGACCATATGCCATCTCTAAAAGTTTTTCCACAGTGACATACTTAAAAATTTCTTCATTTTTTTCGAAAGCAGTCACCAAATTACGTGGTTCTTTGCCTTGTATAGAAATGGTGAATTTTCGCAATACTTTTTCATACAATTCGACTTCTGGTTTCAAGTTGAACAAGTTTTGAAACACAGAGTGTTTTTTCATCCATTCTTCATATTTACCCTCGCCAAGAATAATAAATTTTGCACCTGGACAGAGGTTAATAGCTTTCTCCATATTGACGTGTTTTCTCACAATGAGTGGACATTTCTGCATAAGCCACAGCAATTGAGTCAACAAATTTGCATCCAGATTTTCGGCACTACTTATGTAATTAGAAGAAAGAGAATAAAGTGATCGAACTTTGTTTAGTTCTTTGAGGTCAATGTTTTGGTCCAAGTCTCCCCACAAATTTTTAAATGCGTTGCTGCCTTTTTTTTCCAACAACGTAATGTGGAACAGACAAATAGCCTCTCGAAGTATTTTCATTTCGTTTGTGACTGAACCAAAAGCAAACGGTTCGATCTGAGAATAAAGCAAACGAAGTGCGATGACACGTTGCATCATTCTTTTGCTTAGTTTTTCTTTTTTTCCATCTCGCATACTCCATTCTGATATGACGTCGACGTACTTCTTGAAAGTTTCTTCGTTAGAGCAAAACATCTCAATAAATTTATCCATTGTTGATTTTGTAATAGCTTCAAAACGTTCTTGGTTTGTGTAAAGACGAAAGCGCTCGAAGAATGTCTGGTACTGCTGAATTTTTTCAGGATTTTGTTTAGTCCATTCGTCCTCTACGATCTGAAATGTATGATAAAAATTTATATTTTCAGAAATTCTTAAAACGTCGAAATCGTCTCCTGAAACTGTCTTTTTAATGACCTTCACGTAAAACTGTTCTCCTTCTAGTTTAAATTTTGTTTCCTTTGAAGTTGTAAAGCTGTTTGTGGTGAATAATATAAATTCTTGCACTTCGCCTTGAACCTCTTGAGCAGATTTGAAATATTTGATTAAACTAAAGTCTCCCTTCTTGCCTGCCAGTTGCTTTATATATAATTGTTTTTTTTCATTACTGTGTTTTAATTGCAGTGCTATTGTTTTTATTATACTATCTGTCTCAATTTCAATAACCACGTCATCAAAATCACCAAAATTTTTATCATTCGAAGAAATGTAGAAATCTCTTATTTTACTGTCGCTTACCAATTGTAGTGCGACTTTAGCGGTAACCAAATCTTCGTATTTTTTTCCCTTGTCGGTGGTTCCTGCTCGTTTTTCAAAAATCTGGAATAGAAATCAAGAAATCAACAATGTGAATAAATCGAAAATAGTTGTAAATCATTTAAAAATTAGACTTCGAAATAGTTCTCAGTTTTTTTTATGCTTTTGCAGATATAAATGCAGACAGGTCTTGTTTGAGTTATTTTTTTTTGGTACAAAACAACGGCCAAATCGTATATTTCATCATAAATAAATTTACCTTATCCGACGAAGTTTTATTTCTTTCGCCATCTGTTGTTTGTCCAGCCCGGTTCCCTGGAACTACATTTTCTTGGGTATTTCCCTTAATTTGATGACTGTCTTCTGATAGAGCAGCTTGCTTGTTTGGAGTGTCTTCTATTCCTGTGAGATCTGTCCGCTAAAAATAATTTAATTAACAAAGTTATTATCGCGTTTCTGCCAAAACATTGTTACAATTATTTTAGCTAATTTTAACAATTAACTAGAATAATTTTGAAACTAAAGTTTCAAAAGTTTCATCATTTTTACTTCCCGAGCGTAAGCAAAGGAAGTATTGTAATCGAGTCCGTCGGCCAACTCTCTACTTTTACGTTTTCTCGATCTTTCATGACCCCTAGAAGACGAAGAAATAGGTCTCCCATTTCCGTCTGTCTGTCCGTCTGTCCGTTCGTCTGTCCGTCCGTCTGTCTGTCCGTCTGCCGTCCCGGATTTTTATTAGACAGATAATCTCCGAAAGTACTCGACCGATTGTTGTGAAATTTTGTACTTATATTAAGAATATCATGTAGATGGTAAAACGCTAACCAAAATTTGTCTAATCATCCCCACCACTAATGCGATGACGTCACTTCAAAATTGTACATAGTAAATGGGTTTTCAATTGTATAAAATAACATAGTCCTACACATGTAGTTTACAACTCTGAGTCGACTTTTCACCCGAAACGTCCAGATTTTTGGAAAAAAAATCAAAATTATAAAACAACATTTTGAAATTTAATTTTTAATCTGCTAACCAGAATGCTTTGAAATGTTGCAGATGTTTTAAGGCTATAAAGAGCATCATAAATCTTTAGTCAAAAAATATTTGCTTATCCCCTCCAAAAACTTGATGACGTCAGCTCGAAAGTTTGCCGAATAAATCATATCTAAAATGTACAAAATATGATGAGCCTGTACTTGTCATTTATCACTCCATTCATATTTTTAAATTTGCATATACAGAGTGACTCAAAAAAATTAATGAATGCGTAAATATATTTTATTGATTTAATCAGGAACTACAAAACGGAATGCTCTGACATCTTGCAGATGTTTTAAGGTTATAAAGAGCATAATAAATGTTTAGCCAAAATATATTTGCTTATCCCCTCCAAAAACTTGATGACGTTAGCTCGAAAATTTGCCGAATAAATCATATCTAAAATGTACAAAATATGATCAGTCTGTACTTGTGATCTATCACTCCATTCATATTTTTTGGATTTGCATATACAGGGTGATTCAAGAAAATAAATGAAAGCGTAAATTTATTTTACTGATTTACTCAGGAACTACAAAACCAAATGCTTCGAAATCTTGAAGATATTTTAAAATTATCATAAGCATGGTAAATTTTTGATCAAAACGTATTTGGTCGTCCCCCCTAAAAAATTTATGACGTCACCACAAAATTTTGCTGAATAAATCCTATCTAAAATGTACAAAATATGGTGAGTCTCTTCTTGCGATTTATCATTCCATTCAAATTTTTTCGATTTGCATATACAGGGTGACTCAAAAAAATTAATGAATGCGTAAATTTATTTTATTGATTTAATCAGGAACTACAAAACCGAATGCTTTGAAATCTTGCAGATGTTTTAAGGTTATAAAGAGCATAATAAATTTTTAGTCAAAATATATTTGGTTATCTTCTACAAAAAACTGATGACGTCAGCTCAAAAGTTTGCCGAATAAATCGTATCTAAAATGTACAAAATATGATAAGTCTGTACTTGCGATTTATCATTCCATTCATATTTTTGGATTTGCATATGCAGGGTGACTCAAAAAAATTAATGAAGGCGTGAATTTATTTTATCGATTTAATCAGGAATTACAAAACCGAATGCTTTGAAATCTTGGGAATATTTTAAAGTTATTATAAGCATGGTAAACTTTTGTTCAAAATGTATTTGTTCATCCCTCCTAAAAAAATTGATGACGTCACCCTTAAATTTTGCTGAATAAATCCTATCTAAAATGCAAAAAATATGATGAGTTTGTACTTATGATTTATCATTCCATTCATATTTTTTAGATTTTCTTAAGAGGTGGTTCAAAAAAATTAATGAAGTCAATTTATTTTATTGATCAAGTTAAAGGCAACACTTATTATTAGTATTACATTGGACCAACTCAATTTGGTAGACACAAAATTTTTTAAAGTTAAAACTCGGCTGAAACATAGCTGACTAGGTTCCGCGAATGTGGTATAGACATGTTTTAAATCAACCAATTGTGAATTCCACCGTAAAAAATTAAAATAAAATCCAATGTTTTATATAATAAGCGGAAGTCGAAGCAATAAAACCGATGGTCGTTTTGTTTACAGTTTCTCTGTTTGACTCTCACGTATGCTGTTACGCCTGTCATCTTAAATTAAGAATGTTTATACATACACGATTTTCAGTTGCCTCTGATACGTATACGTGAGTAAATTGTTTCGTTATTTTATTGATTATTACAAATCAATATTCAAAACGACCCAATTCATTTTCCCGAAAATTTGGGAATATAATAATTTTATTCTTAGTATTACACTACATCTATCCCAACTGATATACGTGTCCTTGCTAAAATGTTGATGACGTAATCGCAATTTTTTTTTAAATTCCCACTACAAAAATGTAATGAGAAAAAAAAACACAATAGGCATGCAGTCGTCAAGTTTCCGACAGAGAGGGAAGTACTGTCTAAGCTCTTTAGACCAATTTTTTATACTATAATACAATACAATACAATGCTATACTATGTTGCCTACGTTGAATATTGAAGTTCAGGTACTTGTCTTTGTAAAAATGTAATAAGTAAATTGAAAATAGAAATTAATAACCAAATGAATTTGAGGACGGTTTTGATAGATCCAAATTTATAATACCTTTAACGCAGAAGTAGTATTCTCCTCGGGTTGCGGGGTGTGTAGCAACTTTTCTTGTTTTCTTCGTCTTTTTTGTTCCAGCTTACGTTCCAATTCCTCTCTTAATCTTCCGATTTCTTCGTCGGAACTTGAGTCCATGGCGACAAATTTGAACGTGTATGCTGAGAAAAATATCAATCAATCAAGTAAATTAGCGACGGTCAGAAAACATAGATACTAATATGTGTCATTTTTCGACAATAAAGCTAAAAATGAATTATACTGTAACGAAGCGAATTTTCGCGGGCCGGAAACCGTGCCGCGTACCGCGAGAGCCGGGGGTAAATTGGCGATCGCCGCGCCGCCGCGGCGGAAGAAGAGGATTCTTCCCTGCAACTCCAGAGAGTGCGGAAGTGTGTGGCTGCTGTCCTGGTGAAGAGTGTTTTTGAGAAGTAAGAAGTCCGCAGTTGACCCTCCGACCACCGTAAGTACCTTTTTGGGTCGTCTGCCCGTGTTAGTACCGGTTTTGGAATCGCCGCCCCGAGCGAAAAACCGTGTCACCGTCACCGCGTTTTTTTTGTCACCGTCGAAAGTCGACACCGTCGTGCACGCGTCGTTACCGTCACCGCGCTCCCCTCCCGGGTCGCCGTACCGTCTTCGCGCGATTTCCAGGTTCAAGATCGCCGCCTCCAGAGCCAAGAGGAGCTCGGCCTGAAGGAAGTCGCCGCCCAGGAGGAACGACCGTGCCGGACATTTGATTCTTTTTGTTTGTAAAACCGTTTTGTTAGATACTTTGGTTGTTTAGCCGTAAGATTTATTATTTTAGACCGTGTAGCTGGTGGCAGGGAATAAACCCTATTTTATTGTAAAATATCTCTTGCCGTTTTATTTTATTTATTCTCGGGTTTTCGCGGCGGCTCATCACCTGAATTCCTTGTCTCCGGCTTTAGAGCACCCCGGCGCTCCCTCCCCCGGAGAGGGAGCTGGCGCCCGAGCGACCGCCGCTCCTGACCGAAGGCGCCACCCCCGGCGGCGTGAAGGTAGCCGCATAAGCTTGGTCGACCAGACGTGTTACTGAGATCAGCGATACTAGTCGACCCAAAGCTTGGCACCCAAGTACGCCGCCACCCCATACGTTATCGGCGAGATTCCGGACCGTCACCGGACCGTCCGTCCCCCATCATCCGGAATTTCGTCGCAATACTACGTAAAAAACTTGATAAAAATGACTCATGTTGTCAAAAGTGGGAATCGTGATCATAGATTCTGTACAGTAAAAAAAAATTGGTCTAAAGAGTTTAGACAGTACTTCCCTCGCTGTCGGAAACTTGACGACTGCATGCCTATTGTGTTTTTTTTCTCATTACATTTTTGTAGTGGGAATTTAAAAAAAAATGCGATGACGTCATCAACATTTTTGCAAGGACACGTATATCAGTTGGGATAGATGTAGTGTAATACTAAGAATAAAATTATTATATTCTCAAATTTTCGGGAAAATGAATTGGGTCGTTTGAATATTGATTTGTAATAATCAATAAAATAACGAAACAATTTACTCACGTATACCTACGTATCAGAGGCAACTGAAAATCGTGTATGTATAAACATTGTTAATTTAAGATGACAGGCGTAACAGCATACGCGAGAGCCAAACAGAGAAACTGTAAACAAAACGACCGTCGGTTTTATTGCTTCGACTTCCGCTTATTATATAAAACATTGGGTTTTATTTTAATTCTTGACGGTGAAATTCACAATTGGTTGATTATAAACATGTCTATTTCACATTCGCGGAATCAAGTGAACGCATAAAACAAATGCAGGTCTGTAATGTTAAAGTCGATGTAAATAAGCGTGCTACCCTATGTTTCAACCGAGTTTTTCCTTTAACAAATTTTGTGTCTACCAAATTGGGTTGGTTGGGGTGTAATACTAATAATAAGTGTTGCCTTTAATTTAATCAATAAAATAAATTGACTTCATTAATTTTTTTGAACCACCTCTTAAGAAAATCTAAAAAATATGAATGGAATGAGCACGTACAAACTCATCATATTTTTTGCATTTTAGATAGGATTTATTCAGCAAAATTTAAGGATGACGTCATCAATTTTTTTAGGAGGGATGAACAAATACATTTTGAACAAAAGTTTACCATGCTTATAATAACTTTAAAATATTCCCAAGATTTCAAAGCATTCGGTTTTGTAATTCCTGATTAAATCGATAAAATAAATTCACGCCTTCATTAATTTTTTTGAGTCACCCTGCATATGCAAATCCAAAAATATGAATGGAATGATAAATCACAAGTACAGACTCATCATATTTTGTACATTTTAGATACGATTTATTCGGAAAACTTTTGAGCTGACGTCATCAGTTTTTTGTAGAAGATAACCAAATATATTTTGACTAAAAATTTATTATGCTCTTTATAACCTTAAAACATCTGCAAGATTTCAAAGCATTCGGTTTTGTAGTTCCTGATTAAATCAATAAAATAAATTTACGCATTCATTAATTTTTTTGAGTCACTCTGTATATGCAAATCCAAAAAATATGAATGGAGTGATAAATGACAAGTACAGGCTCATCATATTTTGTACATTTTAGATATGATTTATTCGGCAAACTTTCGAGCTGACGTCATCAAGTTTTTGGAGGGGATAAGCAAATATATTTTGACTAAACATTTATTATGCTCTTTATGACCTTAAAACATCTGCAAGATTTCAGAGCATTCGGTTTTGTAGTTCCTGATTAAATCAATAAAATATATTTACGCATTCATTAATTTTTTTGAGTCACCCTGTATATGCAAATCCAAAAAATATTAATGGAGTGATAGTTCACAAGTACAGACTCATCATATTTTGTACATTTTAGATACGATTTATTCCACAAACTTTTGAGCTGACGTCATCAAGTTTTTGGAGGGGATAAGCAAATATTTTTTGACTAAAGATTTATGATGCTCTTTATAGCCTTAAAACATCTGCAACATTTCAAAGCATTCTGGTTAGCAGATTAAAAATTAAATTTCAAAATGTTGTTTTATAATTTTGATTTTTTTTCCAAAAATCTGGACGTTTCGAGTGAAAAGTCGATTCAGAGTTGTAAACTACATGTGTAGGACTATGTTATTTTATACAATTGAAAACCCATTTACTATGTACAATTTTGAAGTGACGTCATCGCTTTAGTGGTGGGGATGATTCGACAAATTTTGGTTAGCGTTTTACCATCTACATGATATTCTTAATATAAGTACAAAATTTCACAACAATCGGTCGAGTACTTTCGGAGATTATCTGTCTAATAAAAATCCGTGACAACAGACGGACAGACGGACAGACGGACAGACGGACAGACGGACAGACGGACAGACGGACAGACGGACAGACGGACAGACAGACGGAAATGGGAAACCTATTTCTTCGTCTTCTAGGGGTCATGAAAGATCGAGAAAACGTAAAAGTAGAGAGTCGGCCGACGGACTCGATTACAATACTTCCTTTGCTTACGCTCGGGAAGTAAAAATAAATAAATTTTTTGGTCGTTTAAAAATTAAAATCAGAATGCCGACGATAGTTTTGCTTCAAGTCGGGAAGACTGAAGTGGTTTATGTCTTTATTGAAAATTGACTCGATTTCTAAGGTTAGCTCATAAAATTCTAAACCACTTTCACATGACTTTTTTAATATTTTTGAAAATAGAATAATTTCTATAATTTAGAATCTGTCCCCAAAATTTGTAAAAGTAAATTTGGAAACGATGTAGGGGTTTAATAATGTGCTCATATTTTTAACGATACATATGCGCATTATTGTAAACAAAAGGTGAATTTCTTAGAGGCAAATTTTGGAATTAGTGGCGCTAGTAATATTTATAATTTTGAGAACTGTACACAATTTGAAAAGCTTGAGAAGAGCGAATGGAAATCTTGTTAATATTTATGCACAGGGAAGAATGATGTAGATTTTTATCAACTAAAAATAATAATAATAATACTTTATTCCCAACAGGTAACAAAACACCAGGTTACAGGGAAAAAACTAACAATGATTATGCAGTAAATACAAAGAAAAGGAAAAAAATATCTAGGTATATATAAAAAATTATTAACTAAAATATAATGAAGTAGAAATAGATTACTCTCAGGATTTACCCCAGATGAACGATATGACAAAAATTTCAGGAACTTGCGTTGGACTGATTCTATATACTTTTAAGATGGATTTCGTAAATTGGAAAGCATATTTAGGGTCATTTGCATTTGAAGATCCAGAAAAATAAATATTAAATTTGAGGTTTGTTTTAGTGCTTATAAGTTTATAATGATAAGATGAGTCTAAAACACAGTTTGTATTAAATAGGCTTACTTAGAATGCATCAACTTAGAAGAAGTGCCACTAGAACACAAATTCGGTGGTTTACCAGAGGTAGAAATGCAAGTTTTAGGTCAAGTTTTGCATATATTGGTCGAAGCAATTGCAAGTGACGATGGATGATTATTATGTATGTACAATAAAAAACATGCGTACATGCTTAATTCTGACTATCATCTTCTACTTACCCGTCGGGTAGTGCACTAATTTTTGAAAGTTACAATCACACAAAAACTTTTATAAAATACGATACAATTAAAGTATTACTTTTTACTTCCCGAGCGTAAGCAAAGGAAGTATTGTAATCGAGTCCGTCGGCCGACTCTCTACTTTTACGTTTTCTCGATCTTTCATGACCCCTAGAAGACGAAGAACTAGGTCTCCCATTTCCGTCTGTCTGTCCGTCTGTCCGTCTGTCCGTCTGTCCGTCTGTCCGTCTGTCCGTCTGTCCGTCCGTCTGTCCGTCTGTCCGTCTGCCGTCCCGGATTTTTATTAGACAGATAATCTCCGAAAGTACTCGACCGATTGTTGTGAAATTTTGTACTTATATTAAGAATATCATGTAGATGGTAAAACGCTAACCAAAATTTGTCTAATCATCCCCACCACTAATGCGATGACGTCATTTCAAAATTGTACATAGTAAATGGGTTTTCAATTGTATAAAATAACATAGTCCTACACATGTAGTTTACAACTCTGAATCGACTTTTCACCCGAAACGTCCAGATTTTTGGAAAAAAAATCAAAATTATAAAACAACATTTTGAAATTTAATTTTTAATCTGCTAACCAGAATGCTTTGAAATGTTGCAGATGTTTTAAGGCTATAAAGAGCATCATAAATCTTTAGTCAAAAAATATTTGCTTATCCCCTCCAAAAACTTGATGACGTCAGCTCAAAAGTTTGTGGAATAAATCATATCTAAAATGTACAAAATATGATGAGTCTGTACTTGTGATCTATCACTCCATTCATATTTTTTGGATTTGCATATACAGGGTGAGTCAAAAAAATTAATGAATGCGTAAATATATTTTATTGATTTAATCAGGAACTACAAAACCGAATGCTCTGAAATCTTGCAGATGTTTTAAGGTCATAAAGAGCATAACAAATGTTTAGTCAAAATATATTTGCTTATCCCCTCCAAAAACTTGATGACGTCAGCTCGAAAGTTTGCCGAATAAATCCTATCTAAAATGTACAAAATATGGTGAGTCTCTTCTTGTGATTTATCATTCCATTCAAATTTTTTCGATTTGCATATACAGGGTGACTCAAAAAAATTAATGAATGCGTAAATTTATTTTATTGATTTAATCAGGAACTACAAAACCGAATGCTTTGTAATCTTGCAGATGTTTTAAGGTTATAAAGAGCATAATAAATTTTTAGTCAAAATACATTTGGTTATCTTCTACAAAAAACTGATGACGTCAGCTCAAAAGTTTGCCGAATAAATCGTATCTAAAATGTACAAAATATGATGAGTCTGTACTTGTGATTTATCATTCCATTCATATTTTTGGATTTGCATATGCAGGGTGACTCAAAAAAATTAATGAAGGCGTGAATTTATTTTATCGATTTAATCAGGAATTACAAAACCGAATGCTTTGAAATCTTGGGAATATTTTAAAGTTATTATAAGCATGGTAAACTTTTGTTCAAAATGTATTTGTTCATCCCTCCTAAAAAAATTGATGACGTCACCCTTAAATTTTGCTGAATAAATCCTATCTAAAATGCAAAAAATATGATGAGTTTGTACTTGTGATTTATCATTCCATTCATATTTTTTAGATTTTCTTAAGAGGTGGTTCAAAAAAATTAATGAAGTCAATTTATTTTATTGATTAAATTAAAGGCAACACTTATTATTAGTAATACACCCCTACCAACCCAATTTGGTAGACACAAAATTTGTTAAAGGAAAAACTCGGTTGAAACATAAGGGTAGCACGCTTATTTACATCGACTTTAACATTACAGACCTGCATTTGTTTTATGCGCTCACTTGGTTCCGCGAATGTGAAATAGACATGTTTATAATCAACCAATTGTGAATTTCACCGTCAAGAATTAAAATAAAACCCAATGTTTTATATAATAAGCGGAAGTCGAAGCAATAAAACCGATGTTCGTTTTGTTTACAGTTTCTCTGTTTGACTCTCACGTATGCTGTTACGCCTGTCATCTTAAATTAAGAATGTTTATACATACACGATTTTCAGTTGCCTCTGATACGTATACGTGAGTAAATTGTTTCGTTATTTTATTGATTATTACAAATCAATATTCAAAACGACCCAATTCATTTTCCCGAAAATTTGAGAATATAATAATTTTATTCTTAGTATTACACTACATCTATCCCAACTGATATACGTGTCCTTGCAAAAATGTTGATGACGTCATCGCAATTTTTTTTTAAATTCCCACTACAAAAATGTAATGAGAAAAAAAACACAATAGGCATGCAGTCGTCAAGTTTCCGACAGCGAGGGAAGTACTGTCTAAACTCTTTAGACCAATTTTTTTACTATAAACTTTTAAATCATCCGTATTAAAATGATCACCAATTTTTTTAACGGCGTTCCTTAAATATTATATTCTAAAGGTGGGGTTAGCATATCTGATAAGTTAGTGTTATCAAAAGCAAGACCTTCAAGTTATGGAAAATCCAAAACCTGATAAATGACTAATTTCATAAATTCTAGTGTTTGCATATTAGATTTCCATTTTTCATACGTAAATTTAGATTTACTAGCGCAAGTAGTAATGAAGTAAAATAAAAAAGAGCAAACCAAAAATAAACTGATCACTGCAAAATCTGGTATTTAATTCTAACCGTATAAGTGAAAATTTCACTCATATATTAACAAATTGCTAAAGAGCAAATATTTTATGGTGGGCTAAATGACTATGAGATTAATTTAAAGCAGAAAACAATATTCCTAAACTAATTTTTATTTTTGGGTGGATACTAAAAGCTAGATTTAAGATAACGATAAACATGAAGTGTTTATTGACGCCTTGGTTGAAAATTTTGCAATTAAATCACGACATTTTATCTTATTTAAGTTGTAATTCATATTTATTTACTTGTTTCCGTTTGCGTCGTAATACCTAAGATATAATCTTTTTTCTAAGAATTGGTTTCGCGCTTATTTATATTAAGTACATTACAGAAATATTGAGCGTAAGCTAAGTAATATAGTAATTGAGTTCACCAGGCGATTTAGCACTTTCAAATTTTCTCGGCGTTTCACGACCCCTAGAGAGGGTCGGAGTTTTTTATTCCGCATCAGAAAATGTCAATAAATCTGGGGGTTCCATTAAAAAAAAAAAAAAGGCGGCCTTCTGTATGAAACCGAAAGCAATAAAAAAAAAGCAAAATATTATTATCAAGTGGCCATGTGTAACTATACATCCACACCAATTTTTCAAATTATAGATCTGAAAGTGAACCAGACGTTGCTTAAAATTTTTCCTAAAACTTGCCTAAAGCGCCTATTTTGCCATTTTCCTGTCTAAATCCACAATTGTTATCGCTTATTTTGACTTTTTTTTTAGTCTAAAATTCGCTCTTTATTTATAAGAAGCACCATTAGAACACAAATTTGGAGATTTATTCGAGGTAGAAACGCAAGTTTTAAGTCTGAAGTGTAGTACTGTACATATTGATAAAAGCAATGCAAGTTATAATAAATTCGTTAACGATCATTATGCGAAAACAAAAATACGCGTAACTACATGGTAAATTCTGAGTGTAATTTTCAACTTACCCGTCAGGAAGTTCACTTATTTTTGAAATTTATAATCACAAAAACTTTTATGAAATATGTTTACAACTAACGTATTACTTTATTACGGTAAACTTTTAAGTCAGCCGTATTACAATAATCAGCATTTTTTTTTAATGTTGTTCCTTATATACTATATTCTAAAGGTGGGGTTAGCATATCTGATAAGTTTGTGTTATCAAGAGAAAGACCTTCAAGATCTGGAAACTCTAAAACCTGATAAATGACTAATTTAATGTTTTCTCCATGGTTTTTTTCCATTTTTCATACGTACGCAGATTTAGATTTATTAACGAAACTACCAATAAAGTAAAATAAAATAAAGCAAATAAGAGATCAAGTAGTAATATGTAATTTATGGCAGGGTGAATAGCTATAATATTAATTTAACACAAAAAACAATCTTCCTAAATTAATTTTTGTTGTTACTGATAACTATGGCGTACTAACTTCAGGCTTCAGTGGACGAAAGACCATCGGATGATTATGAAGTATACCTTAATGTAGTTAAATGCTTAAATGAGAGTGAGTTTCTTTTAGTTTTTTGTTTAAACGTCGTAATAAATCAATAAACACGTCATCCACTGGTATATTGGACATAATTTACATTTTAAATTCATCGCTTTTTGGTTACATACTACAAGTAAATACTTATTTTAAAAGCTAGATTTCAGAGAGCGATAAACATGAAGTGTTTATTTTGGCGCCTTGGTTGAAAAATTTGCAATCAAATCAAGAGATTTTATCTTATTTAAGTAATAAGTCATATTTATCTACTTGTTTCCATTTGCGTCATATAGCGACGATATGATCTATTTGATGGTAACCACGTCATTGGTCCATGCATCTAAATTGTTTAAAGAATATTTTACTTCAACTGTTGGAAAACGTAAAGCTGGACATACGAAGAATAATTTGGTTTCAAAATGAAGGCGCTCCCGCTCATTATCAGAGAGACGTTAGGACGTATTTACACAGAGCGTTTGAACCAAGGCTTATTGTTAGAGAAGAAGAGTACGCTTGGCCTGCACGGAGCCCCAATCTAAATCTATTAGATTTTTTTCTTTGGGGGAAGGTGAAAAATGACGTTTATAGTGTCCCAATCGAAAATCAAAACCACTTACGTGAAAGGATAATAGCATCATGCAGATCTATAACTCCCGACTTGTAAAATAGAGTTGGTCGGAATTTTGAATGTAGGATAGGAGTGATAGGACTTTGTGAAAATAGTGGAAGCAGGTATTTTGAACATTTAAGTATTATAAATTCGTTTTCGTTGTAATCTAATGCATTAATAAATTGAGCATTAATTTTTTCAATTTTGTCATTATTTGGCATTGACATCTTTGTCATTTTTTTTTCTGTGATTGCTATTTTTGCTTATTAAAAAAAAAATAAATTAGAGGAAGTCGTCTCTGGGGTGTATAATATGTTGCCTATGCAAAAATTGTCAGGTGTGAACAGATAAAATTAGCACCCTGTATATATTTCTAAAACTAACCCGAGAATAACGTCTGTAGTATGGAATAGCATAACTCCTATCTCTAAATCATGGAGTTCTGCGCCCCACTTCAAGAAGACGAACTGTCCAAAATTTACTAGGTATGACCATCTTTTATATCCTTCACTAATTCCATTTTTAATTACATGGTCATTAGCTTCGATCTTTGCAATAATTGCCATGAAGATGACCTTTATCATAATAAATCTTTTTCTCTTCAACCCGGAGTTTATTTAGAGGCTAGAGAAGACTTCCTAATCACCAACGATATCACTAGTTTACAAGGTTTTATATCCAAAGGCAAAAATAGTTGAATATAAAGGATTTGGGTTCGGGAAATTCATCACGTCAGGTTTTTGAGATATTTATATAAACATACCCCGTATTTCTTTTCTTTTGTACAACTCTTGTAACTTGTTTATTTTTAAATATATATGAACATATACCTAGTTCTTTGAGCAAATTTGTATCATTTTAAAAGATCATTTACATAAATAAATAACATGAGTGTCGATTTGTCAAGCTATTAGATTGTCATCAATGTTTTATTCAAAATTTTTCATGTATTGATTTTAGAATAATTGGTTGCTTTTGATTTTTCTACGGGAAGTGATAATAAAAATGTGAGGTTGTCCTCACAAAGATCGTTTAAAATGATACAAATTTGTTCAAAAAAATACAGGTTTATCTTTAAGAATAAAGAAGTTTAGGGGTTGTATCAAATAAAAGCCACACCCAGTATATATTATAAACATTATGACTGTCAGTTTCCCTTATAATAGAGCAACAGTAACAGATTTTCGTCCCAAAATCCTTGATACCTTCTTTTTAAGCATATTTGAACAGGTCTTCCCGCTTTAGGTACTACAATTTTACCACAAACGTAACTAAACTGATTTGCACTTACTTTGCAGGATCTCGAAAATATTTTTTATGCGACAATGGTGCATTAACATGAATCAGTTTAACACTAACGTGAAGGTAAAAGCAAAGTTCATTATTTTGGCTTTATGAAAAAATCTGACGTGATAAGGAATATCCGTTTTTGGATTTGTTATCAGTAAGTAATTTAGAAGTAAAAAATATTTTTTTTATTTTTGGATATGAAAAAAAGTTTAAATTTGTAAACTAAGTAGTGTAATTGGCAACTAATAAGAGTTTACAGTAACATTAGTCATCGTGTTAGGATCAATCGAATACGTAACTATAAATTATAGAAACTTTAGCACACCTTTCAATGTTAAGTTAGAAAGAAGCGATTTGTTTAAATTGAATAGAACAGGCACTGCCTTTACTAGCCAGTCTGTGTTAAAACCATATGAAAGTTTATATTCTACTGTCCATTCAAATTATTTACCATTTTTTAATTTAAATTTAGATATATGTTTAAATAAGTCAAAAATTGTTAACGATACTGATTTTTCATTGTATATATGCCCCAACAATGTACAAGATTCATAACCATCATCAGTTGAACGTAGTTAATAAAAGTCTTAAAGAAGTGACATCTCTTATCGAAGAGAACGAAAGAAATGCTGTCCACTCATCCACGCTAACCCATTATTCGTTTCTATTTAATATGTTTATCATACTAATACCATTTTATATCATATACAGGGTGCTGCATCCAAGTCTGGACATAGGGAATTAACATGGCAAATTGGTTTTTATTTTATAATATCTCCCCAGATCACTTTAAAGCTATTATTGAATGATGCCTTTGTGGAAGTCGAAGAGGGCTATCGGCCAGTATTTTTTTCAAATCGTTGCATCGCGCTCATTTACTGTAAAATGATTTTAAAAATCGTATTTTGAAATTCGCGCCCGATCCGATTTGTCGCGAAATGTTCCGTCGCACTGTCGAAGTTCGGCGATCGCGTCTTTGGATTAATCATGCAAAATCCAAATGTCAAAGTGAAAGTAGAAATTATTCTCAGAAATCAACGAACAACTCAAACTGATTTATTTTATCCAGTGTGATGATTATTGTAGGACAAATTAAACGGAATAAATGCACAAATTGATCCGTTTATTCGTCATAGTGCGCGACCCCGTCAAACGAGCCATCTCGAACTACACCCAGACCGTATCCAAAAAGCCCGAGATGAAGACTTCGAGCAACTGGTCTTCCTCAAAACTCCATCGGCAGCATTATGACATGTCCTGGAAGCCCGTCAAGCTAGGAATTTGCTCGCGCTACCCCACTCAGTAATCACTGAACAACTCAAATTGAATTATTTTATCCAATATGACGATCATTGTAGGTCAATTTAAACGGAATAAATGCACAAACTGCACAAAATATTTTATTAGGTTATGTTGCTGGTGCTGGTCGGGTCTTTATTACTAAAATCTCATTAAAATGCCATGTTCTACTGCGATTAGAAGAAAAAGCAAATATAATAATGAAGAACTCAACTCTCCGAATATAATTGTTGAAGGTTTCGCAAATTATTTTAATGGAGTCTACAAAAATTCTAATTCCAACACAACTGCCAACAACTATGAAATCAATCCATCGCTACTAGTGAATATCAATAGTATTTCACAAAAAGAAATTCTATCTGCTTTAAAAAGTTGTAAAAATTCGCTTACAATGGGACCTGATGGCATTCCAGGTTTTCTGTTACGAAACTGTGCGTATATTTTTGTAGATCCTTGTTTCCGGTTTTTTCATAAAATATTAAATTCTTCCACTTTCCCAAATATCTGGAAAAGAGCAACTATCTGTCCAGTATACAAAAAAGGAGATGTAGCAGAAATAAAGAATTATAGACCTATCTCTCTTCTTTGCAATTTTTCCAAAGTTTTTGAATCTATAATTTATAAACATATCTATTCCTCAATTAAAATATTTTTTCGCCTCACCAACATGGATTTATGAAGAAACGTTCCATAGTTTCAAACTTAGCCTGCTTTACACAATTTACGTCCAAAGCAATTGATAATCGTCAGCAAGTAGATACTATTTATTTTGACTTTCAGAAAGCGTTTGATCAAATTGATCACTTTATACTACTCGACAAATTAAAAAGATTTGGTTTCTCAGAAGGTCTTTTAAAACTTTTTGAATCATACTTATTTAATCGTGAACAATATGTTAAATATCGCAATTACAAATCGAATATTATCAAGCCCGCCTCTGGTGTTCCGCAAGGCTCTAACCTCGGCCCCCTGCTTTTCCTACTTTTTATAGATGATCTTGGAGACGTTATTTCATGTCAGAAATTATTTTTTGCAGACGACCTTAAATTGTTTTTAAAAATTACCTCAACATTGGACTGCCAACAATTACAACAAAATATATGCTCAATATGCGACTGGACTTCCAAAAATAGATTGTAGTTAAACAAAGATAAATGCTTAGCTATGACCTACTCTAGAAAAAAGGAGAACATCATTTTTCCCTATCGATTTGACAACAGTTTAATAAATAGAACTGAAAGGATTAAAGATCTAGGTATACTCTTTGATACTAAACTTCAGTTCATAGAGCACATTAATGAGATGGTATCCAAAAGTTTTAGAACGTACGGATTTATCTACAGAAATTGCCGAGATTTTACATATACATGAACCTTG